GTCAGTTTCCTCGTCCGTACCACACGAGGGTGGGACAGGAGGGCCCGGGGGTCTGTGGCGGCTCTCCGGGCCCTGTCCACAGGCGGTCAGAGGCCCCGGGCTCGCACCTGCCGTCCTCCCGGCCCCGCCCAGCTTTGTCCCATCCCGCAGCTCCTGATCTGCTCCGCGTTCCTCGCGGGCCGCCGCCTGCCCAGCTCGGTCCCCTGCGGCTGCGGCGCCGGCCCGGAAGGTGGCGCCGCTGCTCGCCCTCGGCCGGCCTTAACCCTCTTCCTCCGCCCCTCCCCTCTCCTCGCTTCCTCGGGAGGGGCGGGCCGGGCCGGGGCGGGGCCGGGGGCGGGGCCTGCGGGCGCGCAGGCGCACAGGCTCGCGGCCGGGGGCACAGGCGGCGCGCGGGCCGGCCGGGTTCAGTGTGGGCTCGGAGCGGCCGTCGGCGGGAGTCGCGCGAGAGCCGGGGCCGGGAGCGCGCGGGGCGGCGGCGGGAGCCGGGGCCGGGGTCGGGGCCGGGGCCGGGCGGGGGCCATGATCCCCCCGGAGGAGGCGGCGGCCGGAGCGGCCGGGGCCGGGGCCGGGACCCCCCCGGAGCGAGGCCGGGGCCGGACGCGGGGCCTGCTGCGGGACATCCGCACCCCGGTGCGCCGGGAGCCCTTCCAGGAGCGCTACGGCCTGAGCCCGGGCCGCGAGCTGGGCAGGTGAGGCGGGGAAACTGAGGCACGGGCCGAGGGGCCCCCCGGGGCGGTTGGTGTGCGGGGGGGGGGGCGGGGGGGGCCGGCGCCCCCCCCCCCGGGGTGGCGGAGCCTCCCCGGGGCTCCGGCCCCGGCCCGGGGGGGGGGGCGCCCCCCCCCCCCCCCCACCCCGGAGGCTCCGGGGCGCTGACCCTCCTGGAGAAGTGCGGGGTGTCAGGGCGCCCCGGGGCGGGGGCTCCTTTGTGCTCCTTATGCCTCTGAAAACGTCCCTGGGGGGGCGGGAGAGTGGGGGCCCTCTGCGTTTGGTGGGCATGGGGCGGCCGCTTTTAGAGCCCCTCCCGCACGACGTGGCCCAGCCTAACTTTAAAAGATCTGCGCTGCCCTCCCCCCCGAGAAATCAAGAAACCTCCCGTTACAGACGCGGTGGTCACGTCGCCCCCCCCATTGCCTCTCTGAGCCCCCTGTCCCCTGT